AATGGCACGGATGTTATCTAGAAGTTGGCCTCTTACAGTGTAGTTTTCGATAGAGGCCAACTTCTAGATAACATCCGTGCCATTTACAAGAATAGCATGAACACTTGCCAAGCACAGAAATAATGAACAATGTTGCTGTTATAGTTATGTTAAGTTTCATTTTAAACAACGATAGTGAAAGACCCGAAACAAGCTGGAAAAACATTCGAACTCTTGTGAAACTAAGTATCATTGAAATAGTAAAGCTGATGATGATAATGGTAGATAAATAACACTACTATATATATATATATATATATATATAAAATTTGAAGTGCATACATGGATCATGAAGTAATCAATTTTATTATTAGTTTATGAAGAAACCGTGGGCAATTCAATGTCATCGAGTCACATCAAGCTTAAGTCCATGTGAGCCTATAATCCTGTTGCTAGATTTGAAATTATTGTAATAATTGACGAGATATAATAATACGCAAACAAAAATGGTAATAACACAAATTGTTGCTAAGAGATATCTTTTGTAGAGCATTCAGTTGAGACCAAGTTTTAAAAAATTTTCGTTAACGTCTTATTTTGTTAAGTTCAGAAACGGGGGGATTCAAAAAGATGTCCATTTTGAATTTTTCTATAAAGCAAAGATAGTACATAACAAGATGGTCCACTCAGCCAAAAAGGTGTCCGCCGGAAGTCCGCCCTTTGCTTCAGATGGCGTTGAAGTCTGTTTTGAAGATCTCTTTCGTTTCTCCAGAAGAAGAATAGAAGGAATAGCACCTCCTTACGTGCGCAGATCGACTGCTGTTCATTAGCAGTAGGGCTGTACCCCGGTAGCAGATCGGAATAAGACAACATCATAAAAAAGGAGTCAAATCCTAGGAGGTTTATCAAAAAACTGAGAAAGCTTCCACAATTCAGGCAGAACTACAATATTATCATGTAGAAACGATGGCTACTACATGTAGATTTAGATCTAGATTCTAGATCTAGTACTGGCGTTTCAAATAACACGGGAGCTATTCAGAACGCGGCGTTGCAAATAGCACGGGAGCTATCCAGAACGCGGCGTTGCAAATAGCACGGGAGCTATCCAGAACGCGGCGTTGCCAATAGCGCCTGCCTTTTTTGTTGCGGGTTGCGGGTTTGGGGGTTCGAGCCGCTGGCCCGACTTTGTGTCATTGGGAATGACACTTTACACGAATTTTCCTCACTTCACCCAGGTGGGACGAATGGGTACCCGGCCATAGACAGCGAAAGATCTTGTCAGTATTTTGTACTAGGGGCCTAGTGTTTAAACGCCCATAGATCTATAGCCTAAATGGCTGTTTGCACTGTAGATCTAGTTCTAGATTGTCTAGACCTTTGCTTTCCGGGAAGTTGAGGTTGTTTCAGAATGCGTTATTATACATGTATTGGTGTGCTGAGTGCTGGGCTAATAGGCCCAGCATAGAGTGTGAAGCGCATAGAGCTTTCTGTTGAGCGGAAATTTGCGAATACAAAATGCTATGCTATTATAGGGGCTCTTTGGACATTGCCTTCCCGTTTGTTTATAAACAGAAGTCATGATTGCTAAGGACAAAATTGAAAAGTAGCCATAATGCATGTAGATCTATGTAGACTCTAGTGAACCATACACTGTTAACCAGTAATGGGGTTGGTTTTTTTCGACGTGCCTGTCTAGCCGTACTTAGATCTAGGTTTGGCCCTATCGACTCAAACCTGTTAAGTACACAGGTCTCATTAGATCTAGATCTAGTAATTATTCAGGTTCAAATACATGCAAGTCAGTAAGGCACCTTTCGGTTTTGTCTGAAATACAAATGTTTAAGGCATTGCAAACTAAAAATTTCATTTACAATTCAACCACCAATATTAAGAACGGCTAGCCTGACAGTCTAGCCGTCCTTAAGTACGGCTAGCCTGGCTGGCTAGACGAGAAGTCTAGCAGTCTAGCAGTCGATCTGCGCACGCAAGGAGGTGCTATTCCTATTCTTCTTCTGGAAAAACGAAAGAGAGCTTCAAAACAGACTGCAGCG